AAGAGCTGGGCATTAACGGTTTGCGAGACGTGGCTGACAACCTCAACAAATGCAATAACTTCATTTCATCATTTAATAAAAAATCACTCCACGTGATCTCAAACTTTAATAAAATGTGGATTGTTGGTTGATTTTTCATCAAATTACCCGGGCTCGAACTTAGATAACTTCAAAACATTACTACCCCAAAATGTCGAACCATGAACAACGGGCTGATCATGCTGAGCATCATACATATCATTACAGTTAACAAGCAACTCAGCATTACTTACTTTCCTGCTTTCTTCCAAGACGCTTTGTCCCTTCTTTGACCCAGGCATCACTGCACCTGACCAAAAATTCCAGAAAAGTTCCAGATAAGACTTGTCCAAAGAAGACGGGTAAGCACCAGTAAAGACGAACAGAAACTCTCAGCCAATTCTCAGAAACTGTCAATGTCCAGCTCTTACTGCGCTGGGCCTCAAGCTATCCCTGGAAGACTTTCAGAAACAATGTGAAATAACCAACGCGAAAAACCAGAACACAGATTAGCGACTCGAGAATCCTTTATTCTTACGCCAACATGTAACCAACAATAAGGTTATTATACACAAGGTCTAAGAATAAATGTTATAACAATAAATCACGATAACACTTCTGATAGTTTTCTCTCTTCCACCAAACAGCGAACAATGAGACGATGACTGCTGGATTGATGACTCCCGCGAAAAATTTGGAGGAGTTGTGTTTGAGCAAACAAGCATGAATTGATAGTTCAATCTTCAACTACATTGACATAGTATTTCTGAAAACATACTTTTAGTGATATTATTGTAGGTCGAAATTAGCAGTAATTAATGTAGCTGTATTTGTATGAATAAGTAACCGCAGCTCATTTTCATGGTGTTTTTCTTTTTTATGATGTATTTCACATGCAAGGCCAGAAGTAACCTTTCATGCATGAAATAATTTTGTAAGTATATCAGATATAAGTGTGGCTCTGAAAATGGTTTCAATATCGGCATAAGGAAAATTTGTCGTAGTCAAAAGTAAATTCTCTGGAACTCAGAGTACTTGATAACTCATATAATGACCAACTTGATTTCAACACAAGTGGCATTGAAAGACGCACGATAAGTCGAAGATTTGTTGATCAAGCAAGCATAAGCCAATGTAGCAAGTGATTTACACGGCAGCTTGACCATGTGGTTCTCAGTTGCTTGTTACCGATACAATAAAAGTCTACAAGTAGCGTCAGTATAGTACGTAATAATACTTCTGGTCGTGTTGCTCCTGTCTTCTGCCTGCGAGCAAACGTACACGACAGGGATTGTTACCTCCAATGAACAGAGTTTGTTGAATATGGCCTGACACACCCACAATGGACTTTGTACTCTGTCAGCAGCTAGATATAAGGAGTGGCATTTAAATCAAATATTATCTTGCCTCCCTCACAACACCGAGAGAGAAATCTTGGTCAGTGTTTTCAAATAGATGTATTTGACTCGTTTTGCATCCAGAAATTGAAAAATGCTTCGAAAGAGTGTTACACATGGCAAAGGTAAAGACTGTTCATTATAATTCTAAACTGTAGAAAAATTTCCCAAAACTGACTCTCGTCTTACACATGTGAGATGCAAACACGCCTAACTAGGATTACGAAATTAAAGTCGTCAAGGAACAAGGGGCTATTGTTTTCCGCTGTATATCTAGTTTAGTGTGTTGCAGGAGAACGGCGCTGTAAAGTTTTCACCCCACTCGTACTCAGTAAGTGGAAGAGATTGTGTGTTTCCTTCTAAAATACTACGGAGCTAGCACCTGCGTTGGAAATAAAAATGAAACACTAAAGTGCGTTAAAAATGGGTCGGCGGACGGCAGTGGTATCATGGGAATAGTTTCAGTGTCCCTCAGGTCTAGATCGGAGCCCCCAGTTGACGATGGTGGAAGTTCAACCTCGTGTGGGCACCTAGCCTTCTTCTGAACCTGCCAAATAAAAAAGTGCTGACAGCATCATCTGACTCTCGATCGTGCAAGTAAGAGATTCCTGAAGTAAACAAATTTGACGGGGTTATGTTTTGCTACTTTCCGATGGGCAGCACTTGCAATCTGTTACCTTAGAGCACTACAGGAGTATTTCAGTCGTGTCCCTCTCTCCATTTGTTTCAGGTTCTCCACTGTTTTAGAGCTGGCGTTAGTTTAAACATGATTCCACAGTTCAGTATGTAGTTCGAGCTTCCAATCGGGTCTCCACAAGACTTATGTTTTAGCCTGATTACAGATTCCACCACCCTTCCCTGGGTTTTTACTGTCAAGTTCATACCTATCTCCAGAGGGGTTATACTGCGATGTTTTGAACTACGAAACATGGACATACGTATGTCCTGTTCTCTAGACTCAGGTGGGCCTGCTTACGCATGGATTATAAAAGTGTATTGGCTTTACTACTCGTGTGAACTTGGCATTGCATATGATGAACCTAAAGGGATCATCTGTAGGATAATTGAGTCGAGTGTGTATATTTTCAATTTAAGTCTTTCTTTTGCGACAGCTAAATACCTAGTCATCATTTACAATCATTACCATCTATAAGGGTGCTTCTGATGGATTTTTATCACAAGCAATGCCAGGGGAAAATCGATAAATGTCTTACTGCTTTTTCAGCTCGAACCCTGGTAGGTCGGTAGCTTAGACAGACCGTGCAATGTCTGATGGCAACGAACTCTCCAGAATATGAGCAACCGTGGTTTGCTTTCTTATGTCGTTTCTTCTAAAAAGTTATCTTATGCCTCTCTTCAACTGTAAGGCTTCGATGTTCCAATGGATTTACTTCTAGCAGGGCATATGCTAGTGTGTCTCAGAAAGTCATAACTCTTGTAGAATGTCCCATGCAATGTCTGGATGCATTGCGACAAATCCTTTGTAGGATGGATATCCCGCAAAAGACCTCACCAGAGTGACTTTAACTCTGGTGACTCTTGCTAATGATTATCTTTATGCGGTCAGGCTATCTATGGATTCCTGCAACGCCAGCCATAAACTGAATAAGCGACTCCTCATATGTTATGTCTTCACAGGGAACTGATCACATTCTCTTGATAGGTGTCGAAGTATGTGATTATTGGATTCAGAAGCTGGGTCACCGGATGTAGGGCTCCGAAGAAACCGACTTTACTCTCCTCATAGGTGTTTGTGACAGGAAACTTAGCCCCATCATGCACAAGGAGATGAATCCCTGTGCTTTTTTACCATGAATCAACAAACCCCTTAGACATAATTTACTACAACTCTTGTGGAAAAACGTTCCAAACAACCTCGGAGAAATTACCATTCGATAGTATAATTCAGGATCAATGGCAATTTTGCGGAAGAGCTATCCTCTGAAGCCATTGAGAATTACAGCCAGATTTTTAAAAATGGTGTCCAAGTGTACACTCAGGGATATCTGGCCTCACCTTTCAATTTCAGGGTACCATCAGTGAACAACCCAGCCTATTCCAAAGTTGGCCAGTGGGTTCCACATCCAGAATCTTCAAATTATTATTATTATATCCTTTAATTCCTAGATGAACATAGGGTTTCAGCTGCGCGTCTCCATTGCCTTCTGTTTTCTCCCAACTTTTTCACCCCGCTCCAAGTCTGCACACATGCTCCCATCTCCTCTTCACATGACCTCCCCCAAGTCACCCCTGGACGACCAACTCGCCGCTTCTCTCCCGGGTTCCACTCGACCGATGGCTTGTCTAGTGATGTCACCTGATGGTCTCCTCAGCGTATGGCCAGCCAATCCATCTCCATTTCTTCCTGCCTATTTGTTTCGCAGTTGGTTCCTGGTTGGTTTGCTCCCGGAGATCTTTGTTGCTGATCTTTTTTGGCCGGCCACCTGATCTTGAGCGGAGTATTGAGCGAGGACAACTGTTAATGAAGGTCTGAAGTTTGTTGGGGATGCTTTTTATGACGCGCTGGCTAAGTCTCTGATCCGTAAAGTAGCACTGACTTCACATCGCGGTTGAAAATCCGGATCTTATTTTTGATACTGAGTGCTGTTGACCTCCACACAGACTTAAGGGTAATGAAAGTTTGTCTTGCTTTTCCGATTCTGGCTTTGATATCCTCGTCAGTTCCGCCTGTAGTTGAAATGATGCCTCCCAGGTACTTATTTTTTTAATTTTTGATTACAGCTTGACTCCACACCGTATTTTTGGAATTTTCAGCGTGGATATCGGTAGCCCAAAATTCGCAAGCCGACCATAGATATCAGGTGTGCGTCGGTGTGAGCTCGAACCCCGGACTATGTGCATGGTCGGCGAGAGTCCTAACCACTGTGCCACTGTGAAGGAGGTTGTTTCTTTCAGGTTCCTCCTATTTATGCTGACTGTCGTCTGTTGTTGTTGTTGTTGCTGGTCTTGGCCAAGAATCTCCATCACCTCTGTTTTATCTATGTTCGGTTAAAGTCCTATCTTTGATGCTTCTTCTGCCAGCTTGTTGCTTTTCACTTGCATATCTTCCAATTTGTGGGAAATCAGACATATATCAATGCGGGTAAAGTCCAGATCCTCCAAGTACTTTTTTGTGTGAGTCCATTTTATGCCTGTTTCCTCATCGCCCGTCACTGTCTGTCGCATTATCCAGTCTACTGCAATCAGGAAGATCATTGGCGATAATAGACAGCCTTACCTCACTCCCGTCCTCGCTTCGTAGGCTTCCGTAAGTTTCCCGTTGTGGACCAAGGGAAAGAGCACCTGTCAATCTCCATGATGAAATAACATTGACTAATTCTTATCGCTTGGAGAGTTATGCTTACGCAAATCATGAGGAGGTGCCCATCGGATTAGTATCAAACTCTGCCACAGACCCAAATAAATCCATCACCCAACAGAACCCAGAGACTGTCTGCTTGTCCCTCTTAGGAAATATGGTACTGAATCCATCGCGTCACACCCAGAAAAACGCACCAGTATTCACTGTTAATAGTAGTATCTAACGTATGTGGTCAAATTAGTAACGAAATTGTTTTACTATCTGTTGCTGTAACTGCGACTCTAGCGAAATTTTAAATTCTCCGGAATGACATAACATGTCGAAAAGTCGGTCATGCCATCTTGGAGATCAGTGTGCACAAATAACAAGACGTCGTACAATTTTTGGTGATGTGAAGGAATCTAACATAGTGTTTTGTGTTGACACCTCTGGAAGTATTCATAAACTGTGGGATCAAATTTCTTCTCAGATAATAGAACATCTGTGCAAGATAGCTATACATGATAAGAAGTCCACATTCAATGTTATAACGTTCGGTGACAATGTGAGTCTGTCACATTTCCTTTTATTTAATGAGTAGGTGAAACGTTTCCGCGCTAAGCTTGTGCCAGTAAATTACAAGAACATAGAAGAACTTAACAAGTGGTTACGGAATGTAATTTTCGGAACTAACAGCTATATATCCCCTGCACTATTGTCTTCCTACTCATATGTGGAAGCTGAGTGTGTACTACTGGTTACGGATGGTTTGTTAACAAAAGTAGTGAATTTATCAAAGTTTTACATTATATGTAACTTTATTCATAGGAGCTTTATGATACAAGAAAATTATCCTCAGTTTGCAATTCACGTCCGTTGTACCTGACTCTTTTGATAAACAATGTGAAACCAGATAATGCAAGTCTCGAGCTGGCCTCAAAGTTGATAGCAATGACTTGTTGTCCAAAGAGTAGACTTAACGTGATAATGGTGGCTTTCAGTGGATGCTTTGTTCAGTTGTCACCACTCGAATGGTGTGTTAAAGTTCCTTCAAAGCTGTATGGTTGTCCCAATCTATGCTACAAATACATACTTGACAACCTGAACAAATATAAGGAGATGAGAGAAGCTGGGGGTTCAGTTGAGGAATTAGAAGTACGTAAACCTCTGGCACATAGAGACTCAGAAGGTAGGACCCGAATTAATAATCATCAGTTTGCTCAAACTTACTGTTCTTTACCTTTCATAGTTCGAACTAGTTCTTTCTAAGAATTGTGATAACCATTTACTAATTTTCACAAACTTCGTATCATTCTCTAGTATGTTGTGTATTTTTTACAAGGCAACTCAGGGATTTATAATTACAGGTTGATTTTTTTCAAATTTCAGTTTGAGTTTTATTCAGTAGACTCCCTTCCATAGTAAGTATAATACACGCATATTAGACATGCTCACTCATTTAAATCTGTCATTTGAAAGCTTTGTTGATGATGCAATTTCCCCCGCTCTAGGGGAATATTCTGTGAGGTTCTAGCAACACAAATATTGCTCCCAAATGTACACATTTTTATTTGAAATTACATTAGGAGCCTATGGATGGCTTAAAGTTGTAAATGTGTATACCTTCAGGACTCAAACAATGGGCTAATACTACTTACCAAGAACCAACACTTGAACGAAAAGGTAGATTAAGTGAGCCCTGAAAAACAAGAAACACTGAATAGATGTTTTATCTCATTTTGGGTTGCTTCAGATTCACAGTCTAGGAGGCTAGTATATCACCGTTCTATAAGTAACTCAGAGTTTATTAGTTGGTGGAACATATTAATCTAAGCACGTGGTTCTATGTACTTCATTCTAAGACATGCAGGTTTAAATAAATTTTTGCGTTTTAACTTGATAAGACGAAAGCTCTCTTTTGATATAAGTATAAAATTTGGGCACTATGGTACAGTATAACTTCATTGTCGATAAGATTTTATTTTGATGAATCACACAGTGTTATATAGTAATACTAACTGATGATATGATATGATTATGATCAATAGTTTGTGCTCGAAACGTCATCAGTTTATATTATATATATATATATATATATATATATATATATGCGGTATACTATTCTAGAATAATCGTCATTAACAATATTGGAGTTTTTTGAAATAATATTGATTTGTCAAGATCAGTGGAATTACAGATAGTTCAAGAAAGATGTTCAAGTTATAATAAGGATGAAATTGTAATTGTAATTTGAATATGGAATAAAATTAAGTAAATCTCCACAACAAATTAAGAATCATTAAAACCTTGATGGCCAGCAAAGTAAGGAAAGTGTCTGAACCAATTTATTCTTTTGAATAAATAGATTAGCTTTCTCAGGGCAGATGCCAGCAACATCAACTATATGTAATAGTCAAACTCTTGAGGTAAAATTGAGCCTAATTGGTTCACGGTAGATGACTTTGAAGGCCTTTGTTCACATCAATTTTGTGTTCTGTATCTAAAATAGGAAACAGTATTCAGTCACTATGCAGGGTGATGTTCGAAAATCCGATGATATATACGCTTAATTGTATGGCCTATGCAACTAACTGACTGGCTACACAGGAGCAGTCAACCTGTGATAGATACATATAGAAGAGGCGAAATTAGGCAGTTTGCCGTTAACTCTCGAACCCAAACTGCGGGTGGTTTTGAAGACAAAGAGCAATTCAGCAACAGCATTGAAGGCTCCTTTTACCACCGCCATGTTCCTTAGGCGTTGTGTTAATATCTCGCCGGTTTTATCATCGCTGAGGAACTAAAGTTGTAAGAACAAGGCCTTAATTTTACAGAACTGTTGGTTGGTACTTTGGACTGCCTAAACTTTTGATTCAGATTGTTACCGATGAATTTTTCTGGGTAACCATTCTTACTCAGCAATTGTTTATTAATACTGAGGTCTTCACTAAGAAATTCATCGGAACAGACTGCTGTTACTCTGTGGAGGACCAAGCACTTTATCAGCTTGCGTTTGTGAGATTCAAAGGTATGAAGCTGAAAAAGTTAGTGTACTGACCAGTTGATGTAGACTTTCCATCTAAACGTCTTCTTATTACTATACCGCCCTCTTTTCCAGTCATAATGACGTCTAGGAATGAAAATTATTGAAAAGAATATTCTTTGCTCAAGTTTTCTTTTATATATATATATATATATATAATGATTTACTTTATTGCATAACAGCACTTATTACTCTTTTTACTCCTTTACGTTCTCAGGGGAACACAGGTCTTCAAGCTAGGGCTTTGAAGTTTTGGTAGCTGCGGTGTTTATTTTTACGGGTTGGGGTTGCTAGCCTGATGCCCAACCTCCCCTCTTTATCACTATTATTACTGGCTTAGCGAGCGTCAGCTGGGGATCCGACCCCAAATCACAAGAGTGCTTGGTGAGCATTCTACCGCTGTGCCACCGATGCCCCGGCCCTTATGATAAATTTTAGAGTCCTCAGGATGTGGTACAATATTCCATCTAGTTCACTGAACAAAAAATATTTATTTAAGGGCATAGGCAATCAAAATTTATTCACAGTCGTAATATTTTGCTACTAGCAGTGGTAATACAGTTGAAAATAACAATTAAAATGTTAGCAGATAAAATTATAAGACAATTGAAATAAAGCCAGCATAAATTACAAGCAGGAGAAGGTTAAGAAGCCGTTTATTTCGTTAATTACATTGTAAGTTATAAACTTCACGCCTAGCGATTTCTCTATCAAATAGAATGCGGAAATAGCAAATAGGTTATCGTTGAGTTTTTCTACATAGTTGTACAATCTCATAATCTTTTATTCTCACTTCTAGTCCTACATGATGAGATTCACTGACGGGGTGGGGAAGAATCGTGAATAAAGAGGGTGTTGACAGTGTCAGAAAATATGGATTTGAACAATTTCTCTCTCATTTGGGTTCATTTGTCCGTCGACTACAACAGTAACGAGTTGACTTAGTGGCAAATCCCTTGTTCTATTGGCAAAATTTAGTACTCTTCGCAATATGACACAGACTGAGAGGGATCAATTAAGAACAACAGATAAGTTGCAAGGGCTAACAAACTTTAAAAGTACAGGTTAAGTAATACCTACCTGATTGTCTTAACTTCTTAATTTAGAAGGTTGGACGGAACACTGTTAGAAATCAACAAGATATGGTACAAGCATCATGTAAACAAACAAGTTCGTGCGGTTAATGTTTATTCTTGAAGGTGAAGCTAACTGTGTTACCCTTGGAGGGATTTAACTTAAGACCACTTAGCTTCGACTAATACCTGGTGTCCAACAAAAAGCTATTCAGTTTGGACCGGTTGCGTCGTGATTCACCTGGCAACAATACAGTCAGGTGGTCATCAGCATATTTAACAAAGCTAATTTCTTCCTGATGAGTCAAGTCATTTAAGAGGAAAGGAAAAAGCAGACGAGACAGAACAGCACCTTGAGGGACTTTAGGTTTAGTAAGAGTTATTTTTATATTAATTTCAAAAAAGGCTAAATGTCTACCATACGTCAAAGTTTAACAATCATAATCCAGTACATGATTTAGGTAAAGTGATAATTTTAATGTCTTTCTATGCGACGGGCACATACATTGTGCTGGGAAAAGAAGCTATGGATAGAATAGGTCACTCATTAAAGTCTCAAGGCGATCAAAATAACTTTGTATTGCTTCCTACTTGACAGTTATAATACATAAGTGTCAAACACCTCAGATGACTGCACTAATTTAATCATATAGAAAAAAAATGACCTGTTTCAAGATTTGCTTTATGCTGGACAAAATCTTGGCGTGTAACAAAAAGTATTTCCAACAGGTCATGGCAGACTCTCATCAACAGTTGCCACCTTCACTGGCTGGCTAGCTGCATACTGAAGATCAAATAGACGGCTAGCCAGAAAGAATTAGTAACAAGAAACTCTTCAGTGAAGCCCGCCAACCGAGCAAGATTCGATTGCTTAACAAATATGTAGGCGTAAAGAGAGATGGATTGATTGCACATGCATTGAGGAAACCGTCGGACGACATCCCACGCAATATAGGCTATCCAATACTCGAGTGGAATGCAAATAGGGAAGCAACGAGTGTGTCATCAGTCCTATTGTGACTTGGAGGAGATGTAAGATTATGGTCAACCCTGGAGATGAGCCAGTTGAAGAGGAGGACAGCACAAAATAGAAGAAAGTAGAAATGTGTGATGTTGTTGAAGCCGGCCAACCCTACTTTCCACTAGGAACCCAAGGGAATAATAATAATTAAGCAGCGTTTTGTTGTTTTGTTTAACACCCGGTCAATACTTACAATAATGGTCCACAGTTTCTACTTCACGTAATGCCTCTATTGCTTTGAATAGATTACAGTACTCATAAATATCTTATTAACTTATTATGAAGTTGCCTTTTTTTTGTTTGTTAGTAGTAGTAGTAGTAGTAGTGATTAGTGGGGACAATGATACAAAAGGGTGAACTTGAATTAGTGTGCTTTTTAATGACCTCAAAATTTGTTGATTTTAATTCATAAAATAGAACAAGGGGTTTTTGACTGAATATTTTCGCTACCGCCTGCTGCTTCCTGAATACCTGCATCACACTTTTCTGGGTTCTGCAATTTAGAAATATATTACGCTTGCATATGTATACATATATATATATATATAAATGTCCTGCAATATTTGATAACATTTCCCCTATTTCATGAGAGACTTTCTGCTATGAGTCTAGAGAATTAATTGACCTCACTAATAAGAAAGAAACAGGTCACTGATATTGGAATATACGGTCAATACAATTTCTTGTTTTTCTCTCTAAAACTAATAATTAGACAATACAATGAATGAATAAATTATGCATAATTATATTCTATGTATGACACTACATTCCCTGCATACTTGGATATAATTCTTTTAGTAACACATTTTATATTAAAAGACGTAAATTAATGAACAAAGAATATGCTATTCGATAACTTCTTCTTCATCAGGTCCTGCATTTTTATTTGAAAGTGATAATTAAAGAAACATTCTCATTTGCAATTAGTTGTGTTCACTGAGCTGGTTGGCTTAATTGACAAGGTATATCGATAACAGGTGATCACAGTTGACTAAAATGTCATCAGTAAGACACACACACACACAGAGATAATATGCATTAATATGCTACTAAATTGAATACCGGAAACATTTTAGAAAGTAATAGAGAATTTATGAATTCATAGGTTCGACAGCAGGTCAGAAGGGTAGCAGTATAGTGGCAGGCTGCACCTGTTTCTTTGATATACACACACACACACACACAGACACAGAGACCCGGTTGATATTCGAAGCCTTTGGTAATCTGTTCAATACCTGATAGATGAATGAGAAATATCCTTGAATGCTAGCCGGCTATGTAGCCTGTTCGGGATAAGGTGGTTTCAACAACACTTTTATCAAACCACATTAGTGAGTGTTCCCGAGCACGAGGAATCAACTTTCTGGAATAAGAGTCAGTATAACTGGTTCCAATAGAGCAAGTGGATTGATAGATAAAATTAGAGGTGGCTAGCTTGTCTAGATACTTCATCTTTCAGTTTAGGCATCACAACTGGTTGAATATAAAATATAATGTGTATGAACTTGAAAAGAATTTGTTGATAACAGTATTTCTCATTGTGATTAAACTTTTATCTAGTAGCTGACAAATTTTTAGTTTTCAGTGGTATTATCGTTTCAGTGCATGTATCATTTACCAATAATATTATTATTATTATTTACTGTAACATGTTAAATATGATAAATATTCTTTTATTGCCTCGCATTCCCAGTGGAACATGGGGCTTAAAGCTAGAGCTTTGAAGTTCCAGAAGTGTTTTTTAAAGGATAAGGTTGCTGGCTTCATGCTCAGCTTTGCCTCTCTAGTGAGCTTCCAACCAGCTAAGCGAGGCTTAGAAGTCCGTAGGCCGAGAATCAAACACATCTATTGGTTGAGCAATAGGTTGATTCGTCCCCACAGTTCCTTGTTCTCAATTATTTCTGGCTACCTGATCTTCAGTATGGAGTAAAAGCAACTGTCGATAAAGTCTGAAGTGACACACTGGAAATACCTTTGGTGATACGCCAAGCCTCTGACCTATATGTAGAAAAATCGATTTAACATTTGTGTTGCAAAATCCGCATTTTTTGTTGTTTGTGCTGAGTGAAACAGAAGATTTATCCACTGTACTCAGATTTATGAAGGTTGGGTATCGCCTTTACTATCCTGACTAGTTTTGACCTCATCATCCATGCCGGCTGCCTATAGTTGAAACGATGATGCTTAGATAAGTGAAGGAACAGACTTATTCCGAATTTCTTCCATTGACTGTGATTGGTGTTTGTTGTTATCGTTGGTATCACGGTATCTTCATCACCTCCATCTTCTCTATGTTTACTTGAATTCCTGTCTTCAGCGCCAGCTAGCGCCAGCCTCTTCTGACAACATGTTAGTTTTTGCCTATAAGTCTACGAGTTTGTGTGATCACTATTACTGTTTGCTTTAGCTCCTAGAGGAACATAAGACTTCACCTACACATCTCCATTGCTTTCGGTTCTCCACCAACGTTATCACCTAGCTCCATATCTGCTCACATGCTTTCATCTCCTCTTCGCATCACATCCTCATCACCCCATGTCACCCTCACCCGAGGACGACCAACTAACTCACTGCTTCCCTACCATTTGGGTTCCACTCGAGAGAGAGAGAGGGAGAGAGACGGCGTGGTGTGTGATATCACTCACCTGGTGGTTTGCTTCCTCACTGTATGGTCACAATCCAATCCACCTCCATTTCTTCCTGCATATATCTTGCTCAATTGCTTCCTGTTGCTTGCCTTGCTTTCCCGATCCTTGCTCAAGTATCCTCATCAGTTATGTGCGCCTGTAGTTGAAACGATGCTTCCCAGGTTGGTCTGTCGGTTGGTCGGTAGGTAGGTAGGTAGGTAAAGGGGACGGCTTCTTGCAGACTCCTCCAATTTATGTTGATTATTGCTTGTTGTCTGTTGTTGTTGACCAGGAATCTCCACCATCACTACATCTGTTATCTCTATTTTCACCTGAAGGCTTATCTTGTGTGGATGCTTCTTCTGCCAACTCGTTGCTTTTCACTTGCATGTTGTCCGGTTTGCGGGAAATCAGACATATATCGTCGGCGAAAACCCGATCCAGATCGTTGAAGTTTTTTGTTTGGTTCCATTTTATGCCTATCTCCTCGTTTCCCACTGTGTGTCTGTGTGTATTACGCAGTCTACCGGAATCAGGAAAATCATTAGAGAGAGTAGTAGGCAGCCAGCTTGTCTCACTCTCGTTTTCACTTTGAACGATTCTCCGTGAGTTTCCCACTGTGCACTAAACATAAACATACAAAACATAAATCATCTACAGGCAAATCCAGATTTTCTAGAGTCATTTTATCGGTCATTGCAGTGTCTTATTGCTTCGCACACACCGTGTACTGCGTAATGCAGTCCACAACAACTATATTGAATATAATCAGGGTTAACAATATTTATACATTAGAGAATTTGTAACAAGAACCAGTGCAAATACACTGCATTTTGAAATACTGTTCAGCTTAGGATTTCATCATGAACTGACATTGGTGTTAGAGAACCATTGGAAAACATGCCACAGGGAGTGTTGGAGTGTCCTTGAATTCTAACTTCTGCCAATTCACGACCATTGGATCGGGTCCCAGTGGCTAAATGGTATACGAGCTCGCTTTGTAACCGGTAGGTCCTGGGTTCGAATCCCGGTGGGTGCGTACTGCTGAAGAGTCCCACACTAGGACGGGGAAACAGTTGTCCAACACTCCCTGTGGCATGTTTTCCAATGGTTCTATAACACCAATGTCAGTTCATGATAAAATCCTGAAACCAATCAAATCCCTACAAACCATCACTTGAATACTGTTCAGTTTATTTTTAATTATTCCAAATCAAATGATTCGATGGGTTGAATTCAATGAGAAATGTTCACACTGTTTCATCTTATTTTTCTTTTTCTCATCAACTGCACACAACACAAATCATTCTAATTCCAAAGAAAGAATACTACAAGTGAAGAAAATGCCTACTGATCATCTTCAAACCCAAGAACAACAAGTACAAACAAGTTCATTGCTTGAAATTAACCATTCACAGACTCAAACAGTTTCTGAAACCTCAGAAGAAGTGAATACAACAGATCCATCATCAGTGAATAACAGTTGTAATGGAAATCATTTTCAACACTGTTATAAACGTGGGCATAGTTCATGTTTCATGTGTTCTCAGTGTTCTCCAAAATATTCTAGTGATAGATTTAAGCAAAGCAGATATCGAGCTGCAAGGTTAGTGTTGTTAATTCATGTAACTAAGCTTAGGATATAGTATCATTATAAATTGAATAAAGTGATAACAACGGTGGTTAGTACACATCATTGTCAAATTTCGATTGACTTCTCATCAGCTGAGATGCCTACAGACTAAATAAACTGTTATTAATTTTATGTACAGAGACAATTTTAACATACTTCCAAATTTTACATGATGTCAATAAGTGACAGGAGGTTCTGGACTTAGTGAACAATGCTCAGGAAATTGCGCTTATATAATTTTCGCACAGTAATTTCAAGTTTAAACAAAATAAATGTATGCAGAAAATGGTAAAGGAGTTAAACAATAAAGACTAGAGGTAGGATATTTGGTCTTCACTATGGAGCCAATGAAAGCAGCAGTTGATGAAAGTCTAAACTGACCTCTTAGAAGTGCTTTTTGTGGCGTCAACAGCAAGTCTTTGACCCATATATAAAAAACAACTGGCTGATTTAACACTGGTGCTGAAAATACGAATTTTCTTCTATATTTTGTAGAGTCGCATTCATCCAGAACTTTTCTTCCTGTAAAAGCAAATGATAACAAAAGTGATGAGTTGTCATGATCATAAGAGTTGTGCACAACCTTCAACGCATAAAAGACGTTGAATAAATGTATTATAGTTACGTTGTAAGATGAATAATTCGATGAATGCATGAGTTGTAATCAGGATGCACATAGAAACCAACGAAAATATGAAGTTACGAGAACCTTCTCAAGAAATACAAAAGTTATAAAGAATTAGAAAAACAAATCAAGTCATCAAATCACATCAATCTTTCTGTCATTCTCGCCTGCACGATGAGTCTTCTCAAGTCCTAATGAAAAGTCGAAGCCAGTGAGGTATGAAGTGGTGACAGAATTATCCCAAATCCATAGGAGCTAGAATTCATAACACCCAACTCAATCGCTGAAAGGTCAAAAAACCTGCATCGTAACCTCAAAATTCTGGTTTCCATCTCCGACAAGATGTTCGGTGCTCACTCGTGTGGACCTAACAGACTAATCAAATAACCATGGAAGAAGTTAGAAAAGAGCTAACCGCTGATCACGAACCGAATAATAGGACAAAACTGCACCCGCCCCCCTCCCCAATGAGGAAATTATTTCAAGAAATCAATTATGCATGAAGTCGACTGCCTTCAGACACAAGGACAAAATATATAGAAAAACAGTTGGAGTAGCGATGAAATTACCCATATCCCAAATCATTGCAGATAACTTAATGGATAATTGGGAGAGTATCGCTCTTCATAAACTCAGTCAAACTCCAAACATACGGTAGAAGTATGTGGATGGGGGACACTATGTCACAGGGTTGCAAAAAAGTAGTAGTGGCTCCATAAGGAGAGTGATAATCAAACACCTTGTCAACACTCGTCATTCCATCTCAACCAACGACTCCTCCTTCAAATCAGTCTACAAAGTGAAGAAGAACAACGCAACAAACACAATAAGCTTTCATACTAGACGGTTGGAGACAGTCACCAGGAAGCTTAGGACCTAGCTTTGGTGATGGCGTGCCACCTAGAATGGTGGTCACATTACAAACTGTACTGACAGAATTCAGTCTGCACCAAACAAAGGAGTAGACACATTACACTAGCTACTAACTACCATCCAATCAAACTAATAGGCTCTCATCTCCTTTGCATTTCTCAAGCTCTAACCATTCACATAGAGAAACAGCAGTTACTCATACAAAAGAGAATTATCCCACCACCGATTCTACTGTCATGGTAACAATCTCGTGGATTTCTACTCACTCGATTACTTTTCGTTTGTTTGTTTGTTTGTGTGCTTGTTTGTTTGTCGAACTCCTTGTAACTCCCTTACTTCCTTAGAATTCCTACATGACTCCATATTTTCCTTCATTTCTGTGTACATCCTGATTACCACTCATTCATCCATTCATTGATCCATTCATTGAATTATTCATCTTACTACGTAACTGTAATACACTTATTCAAGTCCTGTTATGCACTGACTAATAATGATAACGATGATTTTGACAAATCATCATTTTTGTTATGGTTAATTCCATTAGTACACCTATGATGAAACTAAACAGAAATGGGAACAGTGGTCATCCATGACGGACACCACTGGCTACCATTACTTCAGATGACATTTCTCCGTAAGCCCTTACATGTTTGTGTGAGTTTGAGTAGAGTGCCTTGATTAGTGCCATGTACTTTCTCGGTACTTGTTTCACGGCCACATATTGTGGTAGTACCTCTTGGTCAACGGAATCAAATACCGATTTAAGGTCAAAATATATGACGATCGTTGGACGCCAGTAAGTATTCCTATGTTCCACAATCTGTCGAAATGTGAAGGTGTGACCAATACACTCTCTACCTGGTCTAAAGAATGCCTGATTCTCTCGTATTTGTTTCTCCTGAGAATCGCTTAATCTACGGATGATTACTGAGCCTAGAACTGTGGATATCGTATTAATCAAGCTTATCCTTGTATGATTATCACAGGAAGGCTTGTCTCCCTTTCTGTATACTAGGATAATCAATGACTTACATCATTCCAACGGGGTTATCTCTGATTCTCGCAAACTGCCTAATATCTAAGTTAACCAAGACAGCAATCTGTTAGTACTGTCGTTGAACAGCTCTGGAGGTTCTGCCGCTTTGTCTTGTTTCAAATAGGAGGGACAGGCTTTGTAACTCGAGTTACAGATGGAAGACTGGTGTCTACATACCCGTATTCAGACAGGTGCTGGATGGTGGGTAAGCTGAGCGTGATATCGCCTACATAGTGAAAATATACACAAAAATCGCAGAAGAAGGAGATTATCAGAGTTGGTGGTCAGATGACTTGATAATAAAATAAACTGGGTGAACAATAAGTACCTCAGTTGGTTGTACTCCTAATGGTAACTTTGAAAGTTTTTCAAACCCATATATATGATTTAATTCTTTTGATAACCTCTGAAATTTTTATGTTAATCGTCAAATTCGATTTGTACAATCGTAATAGATCTTTTATGAATGGTCGGGATCAACTTGACTGGTGGGCTGATGATATTCGAATAGCACCTTCAGCTGGCGCTTTACTTTTAGGTCATATTGTATTGGCTCCAAAGTATAATGATGGTAATCGAATATATATGGCTACTGTACTTTCTCAGGTAAATGTGTCCTGATTACACGAATGTTTGCTAATATTTTCTCAGTTTAGCCCAAATTTAATGACATTTATCATTGTAAATTGTGTTTTATGTTCATAAAATGTGTATATGTGTAATTGATTGATTTCTCAAAAATAACACTATCTTTTCGTCACATGATAATTTACAGGTGGATTACTGCACATTTATTATTTGCTTTGAAGATCCTGATTCAGAGATAAAACATCGTGAAAACTTTCAAGAAATTCACGTGCATGAATTAATATCCTATTTAGATTTTCATCGTCATCCAATTCACCCTGGAGATTTTGTTCTTGTGCCTCAGTCTGCAGTTGTTCCGATTGGTCAGTGTTGTAAACATCCTATGGATAAACACTTTCTAGTTCCTTTTCAACTTGGCAAAGTCCTATCTGGTTTTGAATCACGTTCATCTTGTAGAAAAGGTAAACACACAGGATTGTTTTACAGCCTTGGAAATTTAATGATTCTGTGCATTGAAATATGAAAGCCTAATAATAATAATAATAATATTCTTGACCAAATAGTTTTGGAATCATGAAAAGGTTAGGTGATTTTGTTTTACCACGACGCATGGTTCATCATCACTAGTAACTTTTCTATTCATGTAGGCTGACCTTCTAAATGATGTCAGACATCATTACAGATGTTCTAAAAAAATATTAAATTCGCTAAATTCGGCATAGACTCAAGAACCGGTCTAACGGTGTACAACGCAAGAAAGAGTTTAAGACTTTATTATTATTATTATTAGAATGGCAGTACTCCTGAGCAGAGTTGTTTCGTCCTAGTTTATGACTCTTAGGAAGTACACCCACTAGGGTTCAAACCCAAGAGCTGTCGGTTACGAGTCAAGCTCACAGACCATCTATCCACTGGGATCCGATTCAAACTGCTACCTATCCCTAGTTTTTGAATTCACGGATCCTAGTGGCTGAATGGTCTATGAGCTTGCTTTGTAACTGGGAAGTCTTAGGTCCGAACCTCAGTGTGGAGGGAAGAGAGGGGGTTCCTGCTGTTCAGAGTCTCGATCTAGGAGGAGACAACTCTGTCCTCTGCCCCCCCCTGGATGGGTTTAAATGGTTCTCTAACTGATATCGATCCGTGGCCAAAATTGAAATCCTTGCAAACCAACTCTTAAAACTAACGTTGTGTTTAGTTAACAGTGATAGAACAAAAATTAGGAGCAATACATGCAAGCAAGGTCGGGCAATCTGAACAACATTATCATTAAAAATGATCACCGTTTCTGAACTCAATTCATTTCTACATATTTCTTAGGCTGCATACGACTACTTAACCAAGTTTTGTAGCTGCAGCAGGTCGGATGTGAGGTGAAACACTCGCCGAAGACATTGACTAGCGGTTGCGCTATACCGTGAATTGGCAGAAGTTAGAATTCATGGGCCGACCATTGGATCGGGTCCCAGTGGCTAAATGGTATACGAGCTCGATATACTTGTAACCAGAAGGTCCTGGGTTCGAACCCCGGCGGGCGCGTACTGATGAAGAGTCCCAAACTAGGACGGGGGAAACACCTGTCCAGTACTCCCTGTGGCAGGTTTCCCAATGGTTCTCTAACACCAATGTCAGTTCATGATGAAATCCTGTAACCAATCAACCAAATCCCAACAAACCAATACTTGATATATTTCTTGTTTCATGATATGTAATCTCATGTTTTGATCCTACCAAAAAAGATTATAACACATGACCCTTACTGACACTGAATCATAGTCTTTAACTTGAACAGAAGTTAAGAAAATAATATTTTTTGCTGAACAATGTCTGTTTTTAAACTTATATCGAATAGGTATTATTGTTAAGCCATTCAAAAGACTGTGAGTGAACTAGTATTTGAACACATTTGATTCTTATGTATTTGAAACACCCAGCAATGTTTTACACATATACAACGCTGTTTGTAACGATTTCGCGAAGGAACACTGAGAAAAAAAATTCAGACTTATTCTGTGTGTGTGTGTGTGTGTGTGTGTGTTATTGGAAGTGAAAAAAAACACGCATAATTCATGTGTTCACTTATGGTTGTAATAACTTTTATTTCTCATACGGTCAGCATTAATTTAATGGAAACTTTATCCATCAAAGATTTCTATCCCTACTTTATTCATCACTCCTTTTTTGTAAACCTGAAGTTGTAGGGAGAGATGGAATGAGATGCGGGCTGGTGAAAGTCTTTATGAAGACAGTCAGCCGAGGTGTGTCCTATTTCGATGAAAACAGAAATAAGCCATACAAGACTTCATGTAAGCATAGAGAAGATGAAGGTGATGATTGAAAATAACCAGTCAACAAGAAGAAAGAAAGAGGTCAATTCTTTCACCTTATCTCTAGCCAGTCAGCATCGTTTAAACTATGGGCTACAGTATAGATGAGGATGTCGAAACCAGAATCGAAAAGGCGAGGTAGACACCTTCATCACTCTAAAATATTGCTCAGGAGTCTTCTGCACTCAACACAATAAAAAAGAATTGGATTTTCAACACTATGAGTCAGAAACTTGGTGAGCGCATCACGAAAATACTTTTAACAGGCTGCTGTAGACTTTCATCAATAGCTGCCTTCTCTGGCTCCATGCTGAAGATCAGATGGTCAGTGGAAATCATTGGAAATAAGGAATTCTGGGAACGAACTAATCAACAACCTATTGAGCAACAAGTATACAGAAGAAAATGAATACGTATTGGATGTAGGCTGAATAGGGAGGTCGTTGAATGACATGGCACACTCAACAGGCCCTCGAGTGGTAAACGATGAGTTCAGCGTGTGTCCGAGAGTGATACAGAGCAGATCGTGTAGAGAGGAGATGAGAGACTATAAGCAATCGTAGAGCCCGATAAAGAGGACGTCACAGCTGTATGTGCCACTGAGAACCCAAGGGAATAATAAATAATAATCATCGCATGTCTTGGGACCGGCTTAGCTTTTCTCCTGGATTCCAGCATTTCTTGATTTATATTTTTCTAGCCGTTTTCCCTGGATATTGTGACTGAATCCGTTCAACTGCTTCAACCTATTTACTTCATCTGAATTTGACTCATACCTATCTATTAATTGTGATGACGAGGTCATCGCATCAGTTATTGCTATTTTTAAAATGTAATATCGATTGTAAGAGAGGAAGAACATTGTCATTCAATGAAGAAAAAACACTTATTGGTTTCTGGTCAGTAAGCCAGTTGTAATCATCGTTTTAAAGGTTATCAAGAGGATTGCCTTCTCAAATACGTGTACAGAAAACGATGGATTTCAATTTACGCCCATGCACCATGCACTCACTAATCGACCCGATAAAGTATGACTGGTTTTAAAGTAAATTTTTTCAGAAACATCATTGAGAACCAGTTACCGTACACACGTGTTTCATCATTTTCTCGGACTCCTCAGGAGAAGTGCTGCTTAGAATCAACGCTTCTTCTAACTGTTTCATTTTGTTAATTAGCTTTTCTGATATTCAACTCAGAGTTATTTCTTGTTAATTTAGAGACTTGAATAAGCCTGCCTTTACAGAAAACAGATGAGATGTATTAAAGTCTAAATACCTGTCAGAGTGGATTGGTTTTTTATAAACACTAGAGTGCACTTTACCTCCCTTTGTTAGTTTTATTTTACAACTTAATATCACAGCTAATTCTCCTAGTTCATTTTCCTGTTCTGATGTAAATTTTTACTCCGTTTAAAAGTGAGTTTATATGTTTGAAGGAACCAAAGGCATTATTATGCTTTTAACAGAATGAAAATTTCATTCCACTTACTAATGAAGAAAACAAAACACGTAACTCAGTGAACAGGCTCTTCTCAGAGAATTCACTTTCCAGTTTAACTGTACAATCGCATCTATATACAATTTTGTTATTGTGAAAAGGAGCAGCAACAATAATATAATCAGTTCTCATAATAAGAGTTGTTACTTAATATTCATAGTCAATGAATAATAGGACTTGAATAAGTGTATTACAGTTACGTAGTAAGATGAATAATTCAATGAATGGATCAATGAATGGATGAATGAGTGGTAATCAGGATGTACACAGAAATGAAGGAAAATATGGAGTCATGTAGGAATTCTAAGGAAGTAAGGGAGTTACAAGGAGTTCGACAAACAAACAAGCACACAAACAAACAAACAAACGAAAAGTAATCGAGTGAGTAGAAATCCACGAGATTGTTACCATGACAGTAGAATCGGTGGTGGGATAATTCTCTTTTGTATGAGTAACTGCTGTTTCTCTATGTGAATGGTTAGAGCCTGAGAAATGCAAAGGAGATGAGAGCCTATTGGTTTGATTGGATGGTAGTTAGTAGCTAGTGTAATGTGTCTACTCCTTTGTTTGGTGCAGACTGAATTCTGTCAGTACAGTTTGTAAAGTGACCACCATTCTAGGTGGCACGCCATCACCAAAGCTAGGTCCTAAGCTTCCTGGTGACTGTCTCCAACCGTCTAGTATGAAAGCTTATTGTGTTTGTTGCGTTGTTCTTCTTCACTTTGTAGACTGATTTGAAGGAGGAGTCGTTGGTTGAGATGGAATGACGAGTGTTGACAAGGTGTTTGATTATCACTCTCCTTATAGAGCCACTACTACTTTTTTGCAACCCTGTGACATAGTGTCCCCCATCCACATACTTCTACCGTATGTTTGGAGTTTGACTGAGTGTATGAAGAGCGATACTCTCCCAATTACCCATTAAGTTATCTGCAATGATTTGGGATATGGGTAATTTCATCGCTTCTCCTACTGTTTTTCTATATATTTTGTCCTTGTGTCTGAAGGCAGTCGACTTCATGCATAATTGATTTCTTGAAATAATTTCCTCATTGTGGAGGGGGCGGGTGCAGTTTTGTCCTATTATTCGGTTCGTGATCAGCGGTTAGCTCTTTTCTAACTTCTTCCATGGTTATTTGATTAGTCTGTTAGGTCCACACGAGTGAGCACCGAACATCTTGTCGGAGATGGAAACCAGAATTTTGAGGTTACGATGCAGGTTTTTTGACCTTTCAGCGATTGAGTTGGGTGTTATGAATTCTAGCTCCTATGGATTTGGGATAATTCTGTCACCACTTCATACCTCACTGGCTTCGACTTTTCATTAGGACTTGAGAAGACTCATCGTGCAGGCGAGAATGACAGAAAGATTGATGTGATTTGATGTCTTGATTTGTTTTTCTAATTCTTTATAACTTTTGTATTTCTTGAGAAGGTTCTCGTAACTTCATATTTTCGTTGGTTTCTATGTGCATCCTGATTACAACTCATGCATTCATTGAATTATTCATCTTAGAACGTGACTATAAAACATTTATTCAACGTCTATTATTCCATCATTACTTCCGTCTGCTTTACATAACTGATTGGTCGTCAGGGATGTTTATGTTTAGCTACCGTTTTGGTTATGATGGAACCAC